TTTTTTAAATGGTGATAGAACTTTAAAAGTATTTCTCGCTTCATTTCTACCATTTGCCTTGTCATAGACGTCCGATGATGCATGGCTTCAAAAAACGATAATAAAGGTGTAGCGCCTTCTAAAGCGACGTAATAGTATGTACCATTAATAGGTTTTGTAAAACGATAAACATTATTTTTAAATGGCCTAGCAACGCCTGCCCGATTTTTAACAATCGTGTCCAGTGGCTAAAAGAATTAGAAGTTTTCATTTATAAACATAAAAACCTAGTACGTTACCTTGATTCCGTCTCTTGTAAGAATAGAGCTTTCGATTTTGGAATTTACAAACATTGTGCTAGGCACTAAGATAACCAAACGGTTAAGAATGAATTTTACACCTTCTTGGGACTCGTACAAAGCAATCCTTTGTTTTATGCCCTCACCTTCGTTGTGCGAAGGCAGAGCCAATTTAAGATAACCATGAAAATAATTGGACGCCATGCCTTCGGCATAATCTAGACCGTGAGATCCTCTTATCCAGTAAGCGTACTGTAAATTTGAAAAACTTATGTCCAGCCCCCGATATAAAAAGTACAGAGGAAGAAAACGTAATGCTGGCCAAGACAATCTTAAAGTCATGCTACATCTGCATAATGTTCCACAGACAATTAACAGCAAGTAAGGTTGTGCTGTGGACTTAGTACTGAATGATCTTTTTAAAATTTGCCAAAGTCTTCCGGGAACTTCGTAGTGATAATAATATATAAAATACTCCTTGGCAGCACAAATAAGGCGCCATGATATTTCGCCCAAGACAACAATGTGCATAATGTTCAGGCAATCATCTAATTTGCGAAAACTTAGTAGAAATATAAATTTACACTAGGTCCAAGAACTTACCGATATACGTCCCAAGCATATTGGTTATGTTCTTAACCTTTTAGCATAAATCAAATATACAAAATACGGGAAGTGCTTCATCAAAAGGAATGCAAATGCTCCCTCTTCTTAAGTATTCAACGACCAACAAATAGATGATTTGGCCGAATTCGAATAGAAAAGGCTCGTTGCGAACACGACGTTCTTTGTCTGAGCCCTAATAAGTTAGTGGCTAGTTTAGGGTATTGGTAAGTTTTCGTTTTTAATTGAGATAATTTGTTACTATTGCATCCAGCGTGTTCTCACATCCTCCACGTTTTCCTTGTTTTTTTTATTTTTGCGATCTGTTGATATGTTGTTGTAATTGCTATTTGATATATGATTTCTTGCAATCTTTTATTTATTTGTTATTCTTCTTCTTCTTTTGTTATTCAGCAAATTAACAACCGAAAATTCGCAGAATGTATAAAAAAGGCTCAATGTGAACACATAGTTCTTTGTTTGGGCATTAGTAAAGATGGGGTTAGAATTGGTGTATGATATTACTATTTATTATTTTAGTGAGTATTTGATTAATTTTGATTGTACTACAACATCATTGTTAATTAAGCGAATGAAACAGAGGGGATTACAGGATCAGAACGTCCAGGAAGCTTGTCACACAACTCGTTAAAGAGTTGTGAGGGAATGAGACGAAGTGATACCTCTGAAAATTCTGATAGTGCGCTCAAGATCTAAGATTGACATGTCATTATGGACAGTTTCACAAAATTGTTTCCAACCTTCACGTTTTTCCAGCCTTACAATATAAGTATATTCCTTTCTAATATCGGCCGTAACTTTGAAATTTAGTCTAGAAGGAGATCTTTTGCATTTATTTACAGCGAGTCTAAGTCCGGCGATGACCCGATTGCATGTAGTTTCCCGCCAAAGGTTAAAAGGATAAGATATCGTAGAAGTCTTTCGTTTCAAAGCATCAGTGAAAGACTTTGAAAGTCTGCCAGAGAAACAACTCGGAGAGTCTAAAGAGGATTTGACATACTTTGGAACATGGGTATGTGAGTGGCAACGGGTAATAAGTGCAAATGAAGATCAATATCGATTAGACACTGAGAACTACGTTTGGTGTCGTTAAGGGTCCTCCAGGTACATAATGAACTTAGATTAGGTGTACAAATCGAAGGATCTATGCAAGAAGAGACGAAACCAAAATGGGTAGAATCACCATTATTCAGTAAGACTAAATTGCCGCTTTCAAGAAAATTTTCAATGTGTCTGCGTCTTGAATTGGAGAAACGAGTACCACACACATGCGGAAAAATGGTAGAACTGAAAAGGGTATATTCCATATCCCAGACAAAGCAATCAATAAAAAAAACTTGAAAGTAATTTAAACGGCCATCAATGGGATTCGATATAATACTGTAATTGAAAAATTTCAGTTAAAATTTTAAATAAATGAAAAAAACAAATATCTGTTTTACCCACCAACAAAGTATAATAGAAGATAAAATATTATTAATGTTGATGAAAGTTCGTAATAACTAAAATTAAACAACAAACAAACAGCTTATGCAACGAAATAAGATGAGATTATCAATGGTTAAGATCTTTGGTCCTTCCCCTAGGAATAGAAAATGAGATGAAGGCATGAAATTCTTAGTGATACAAACATTTAAAGCTGCTAAAGTCTATCTATACTTTACTTCACGCCCACAACTACCTTTCTATTTATTCAAAAATAAATAAACAAAACTAATATATTACAGACTAAATGGTAAGAGTCCAAGATTCGCATTACGACAAGTACTAATATTAAATCTGTTTATTGCTTGTAACGATCGTAGGCTATAAGAGCATTGTGAAAGTTGACAGTGACAATAGTTTTCATCATTGAAATGAAAAAGAGTGCAACACCTCAGTAGAAACAAGGATTACGTCTACTGAGGAATTAACAATGTCGATCCGTAAAAAGAATCCTGTGCCAACTTATGTGAACTTGACATACATCATAGAAGTTTTCGACATTGAAACCCTACCGTAAGTGGTAACTTTGCGGAGTTCCCGCCGCACTGCTTTTGTCGAAACGGTATTGTTATGAGTTCTGTTGTGTCTTGTGAGTAGAAAGTAACGTGAGATACTCTGGTGTAATTTTAAAATCATATGCTTATTATACATGAACTTACAAAGGACATGAGTAAATGTGCTTTCTTCTCTGTTGACTAAGCATCAGATAATCGAGACGCTTGTGTAAAATTGTCATCTAAAATTGTAATAAAAGAAGTGGAAAGCATATAAGTTACTCATTACTCTATAGTTTCACAAATCCTTTGTATAAGTCAAACAAAAGAATAAAAAATGTAGAAAGCTGAATAGCAGTTGGATTTTGGAAATTGTATTCCCTTACCTAAAAGGCAGAAGAAGTTTTCAGTTACGAGTCGAGCTTGACCAACTAGTTGTATTTTATAAAATAGTTGTTAATAGAGTTAGACTAATCTAGAATTCAGATAAAGGATAAAGATAAGCCAAGTGGAAGGCCTCGAACTTGGAAGTAACTTCTACCTAAAGTAATTCAAATCGAATTTTACACCCATTAATAGCT